CTGTTCCTGTTTAGCTTCCTTGTCTAGTTGTCACTCAATCTACTTCTCTGTCCTATTTTCTGAAATTCAGGTGTTCTAGTATCACTACCTTATCTGTTTCACTTGCTCTTCCATGTCATTGTGCAGAAGGTCTGCTCAGTGTGTGTGCCTACTTTACCATCTTGCCCCAAATCTCTCATTTCCTCTATTTTTAATATAAAATCACAAAGTCTTTCAGATTTAGATCTTTTATCCATCTAGAATTGAAGTTTCTGTAGGGTGTGAGGTAGGGATCCATTTGATACTTTTTGTGAGAAACCAGCTAACCAAACACCATTTATTTAATAGTTTATCTCTTTTGCAATGTTTTGTAATTTTCCCTGTATCATATACAATTTTTTTGTTTCTGGGCATTCTCTGTATTTCTCCACTCTTACATCAATACCGTATAATTTATATTGTTGTTGTTGTTGGTAAGTGCCTTCAAATTGTTTCCAATTCATAGTGACTCTGTAAAGGGTTTCCAAGGAGCAGGTGGTGAGTTTGAACCACTGACTTTGGGGTTCAAACAGACCTTGGGGTCCAGTGCATTATCCTGCAATGCCACACCCATCAAGTCAGTACTAAATCACAGCGACACTATGCACAGTAAAACGAAACACAGCCTAGGGCTACACCATCCTCACAATTGACATTATGTTTGAACCCCTTGTTGCTGCCACTGTGTCAGTCCCTCTCCTTTTGGGTCTTCCATTTTTGTCTCACCCTCCATTTATTTCTACTGACAACATGTCCAAAGATGGAAAGACGAAGTATAACATTCTGGCTGTACTTCTTCCAAGACAGATTTGTTTGTTCTTCTGGAAGTCCTTGGTACTTTCAAAATTCTTTGTAAACACCATATTTCAAATGCATCAGTACTTCTACGGTCCTTCTTATTCATTGTCCAACTTTCACTTGCATAAGAAGCTATTGAAAATACCATGACTTGGGTCACACACACTTTAGTCTTCAAACTGACATTTTTTAAAAAACACTTTAAAGAAGTCTTTTTAGCAGATTTGCCTAATGACAGTATATTATTTGGTTTCTAGATTGCTACTTCCATGAGCGTTGATTGTGGATCCAAGCAAAACGAAGTCTTTGGAAACTTCCATCTTTTCTCTATTTATTATGATGGTATTTATTGGTCCAGTTATGAGGATTTTTGTTTTCTTTACATTGAGGTGCAATCCATACTGATGGCTGTAGTCTTTGATCTTCATAAGTATTTCAAATCCACTTTCATTCCAACAAGCAAGGTTGTATCATCTGTGTATCATAGGTTGTTAATGAGTTTTCCTTCAATCCTGATGCCAAGTTCTTATTCATATAATTTAGCTTCTTGAATTATTTGCTAAGCGTGTAGATTCAGTAAGTATGGTGAAAGAATACAATGTACACCTTTCCTGATTTTAAACCATTCAGTATCCCCTTGTTCAGTTTAAGCAACTGTGTACAGGTTCTTGATGAGAACAATCAAGTGTACTGTGATACCCATTCTTCGCGATGTTATTCATAATTTGTTGTGGTCCACCATTCTTCTGTCAGTGTGGCATACTGTGCTGGCTTGTGTGTTGCGGTGATGCTGGAAGGTGTGCAACTTCTATTTTAAATACCAGGAAGGTCATCCCTGGTGGGCAGGTTTCAGTTGAGCATCTAGACTAAGACCACAAAGAAGGAGAGCAGACTACCTCTCAACAGTCGGCCACTGAAAACCTTATAACTAGCAAACATTTTCTATAGGGTTTTAGTCATTTTGATGTTTAGTAGTGCAGACCTTCATATCTTGGTTTATTTATTTCAAAATTGTTTTGTTTACTCATGGCCTTTTGCTTTCTTTTCAATGGAATTACATTGAATCTGTTGATCAGTTTAGGGAGAATTCCTTTCTGAGAATATAAACTCTTGCACATATTTTGTTATAATTCTTCTTATGTATTTTATGTTTTGAGTTGCTTTTGTAATGAAGAAAAAGAAAGATACCAAAGAATGAAATTGACTGTTATATATTGATTCTGTAGCCTTGCCAAATTTGCATATTAATTCTAAAATGATGTTTCTTGTCAGAAGTTATATGGTGGTGGTGGTTATGTGCCGTGGAGTCGGTTCTGACTCATAGCGACCCTGTACAGCATTTCTGAGGCTGTAAATCTTTACAGGAGCAGAAAGCCTCATCTTTCTCCTGCGGTATAGCTGGGAGTTTCAAACTGTTGACCTTGTGCTTCACAGCCTGATTCGTAACCACTACGCTACCAGAGCTCCTTAGATAGTTATATAGTATGCAAATAAAAGCAGTTTGTTTCTTCATTTCTGCTCCATATCCTTCCCTTTTTTCTATAGGGTAACTAAGAGTCAGAATAGACTCAGTGGCAGTGGGCCGGTTGAGAGTCCCCTATGCTGCTGTTCTTTTCTGTTATGTTATTGTTACGTTACCATCAAGTCAGTTCTGACCCATAGTGACCCTGTGTAGGTTTTCTGAGGAGCAGCTGGTGAGACTGAACCGCTGACCTCGCAATTCAAACCAACCTTGGAGTCTAGCGCATTAACCCTCAGCACCACACCAGGTTATTCACTATTAGAGTGAATTGTATTAATGAGTTTTCTAAGCTCAAACCGTCCTTGCATTTCTGAGAATTAATTAGCATGGTCACCGTGAATTGATTAGGTATTTGTCACATGTTAGAATTGTTCATTTTACCTAGCACATTTGCCTTTACACTGCTGCTGCTTCTGTTACGTGCCATTTAGTCACTTCTAACTCATACCAACCCTGTATAGCGTTTGTAAGGCTGTAAATCTTTACAGGATTAGAAAGCCTCATCTTTCTCTTGCAGATTGACTAGGAGATTCAAACTGCTAACGTTGTGGTTCACAGCCCAGTACGTAACCCAATATGCTGCCAGTTGCCTCTGTAGGTCAGTTGAAATTTTCTGTCCCATACTTTCTTGAGACAGACTTCTGTTTTGTTGTTGTTATTAAGTGCTGTTCATTGGTTCTGACACAGTGACCCTGTATAGGGTTTCCAAGCTTAATAAAATAATGTTACAAATATAGCCTCTCATCAAACTTATTCTGGTTTCATAAAATATATTGCAAAGTGGTCTTTCACATACTGTCTCAGAAAGACTTGTGTATGTATAAAACTGGAATTTTCTATTCCTTGAAGTTTTAGTAGAATAGCCCTGTAAACCAAGAATAGCTAGTAAGTTTTTCGGTCAATACATTTCCCCTATTATTTTATTAGGAGTCCTGGTGTGATGCTGTGGGTTAATGTGCTGAACTGCAAGATCAGTTTGAACCGCAAGGTCGGTGGTTCAAGCTTCACCAGCTGCTTCTTGGAAACCCTATACAGGGTCACTATGGGTCAGAACCAACTCAATGGCACTTAACAACAATAACAACAATTATTTTTTATAAAATATTTCAAACATGTAGCCAAGTTGAAATCATTAACAAACTTGAATATCAACTGAGGAATTACTCAGAATAAGTATAACCCAAAGAGATAGAAACTATAAATGAAACATAAAAGTATGGAATATAAAACAAGGAATGCTATAATTAGAGCTTCAGTAGACAGCACAGAAAGAAATGGGGAGTGGCATGATTTTGAGGGAAAAAAAGGGTGACAATATTTTTTAGAACTAATGAAGCATATTGGATTTAGAATTATCATTGAATTAGAAAAAATAAAAATAAAAAGCCATCTATACCTAGAAATGGAGTCCTGGTGGCCCTGTAGGATAAGCACTGAACTTCTAATATCAAGATCAGTGGTTCAAACCCATCAGCTGCTCCTTGGAAATCCTAGACAGAGAGTCGCTATGAGTCAGAACCGACTTGATAACATTTAACAACAGCATACCTAGAAATACTGTAGTGAAACTGTGTAATATACTGATTTTCTCTAGTTTCTGACCTGTTGCTTACTGTCCTTTTTCATGATACTATTTTTCTTTCTACAAGTACTTTGGGTGCTTCTCAAACCTCCCTGATCGGTTTTGATCATTTCTTAGTCCTTACCATAATTTAGATTTTTTTAAGAAACATTAAATCTAATATATTTTTCTGTGTCTAATTATTCCAGTCTTATGCTGCTATTTTGTTATTGCTGCTGCTGATGTTTCTGGTGACTCTTGCTCATAGTGACTTATTTTGTATGGTTTTTGTAATTCTGGAATTTGCTCTTTTCAGCTGGTCTTATCTTTATCTTTGGTAAACCTGAAGGGCCTGGGTTAAGGTTTATGGATGTTTGATTGTGCCAGATTTTCTACAGCATTGCCAACCAGGGTCACTTTAATTGCTTAGCATACAGTTTCCCAGACAAGAAACTATTAAAATGTCAAACTTAGATCCAAGTATTAACAAGTTATGGTTTCAATTTTCAAAGGCTACTTTTTAAAACCAGAGGACAGTTTAAGACAGGCAAATTTTCCTATTGTCTTTGCCAGCTGGAAGACTTCCTTCCTCTCTGCCTAACCCATTTATTATTGACTCATCCTTTTTTAAGCCCAAAATAGCTTCACACCTACCTGTGTCCTGTAAAACTTACAGCTCTAGGTTCCTGAGATTGTATTAGTTGTAGCAACTCACATACCCAAAGCTTCTGTGCAAACTCCCTACTCTGGTTTTGGCCCTTAAGAATTTCCACTAGCTTCCTGTTACTTCAGCCATATAGTTAGATTTTTCTCCCCTAGCATTTCTTTCATTTTAGAGCAAGACAATTTTCTGTCTATCCAGTTTCTGTATTGTGGGAAATGAAAGTCATTTTATAATTTTGAGTTGTTATTCTGCATGATTCTGGTTTTGGAACCCATAGACTGTGGGCAGATTACTATTCATAGTTCTTCCCCTTGTTAGGCTGATATATTACCAATACTTACTTGAGTGTTTTGTGGGGAGTGTTCGTAGTTCTACAGCAGAAAATTGTGATAATTTCTAATGTTTCCAATTATGAAAATGTTATCTTTCTTTATCAGGTAGTAGAACTGCAAAATAGATTATCTGAAGAATCAAAGAAAGCTGATAAATTAGATTTTGAATATAAGCGACTGAAAGAAAAAGTTGATGGTCTTCAAAAAGAAAAGGATGTAAGTCTATATTGGACATTTTGGTTTTGAACCCTGCTAAAATTAAAACAGTGATATTTAATTCATGTATATTTACTACATTAGTTCCTTCTATTTGTGAGTGAAAACTAAACATCCTGCTTGTTTTTAAATTATTGAAGCTATCAGTATTTCAGAAATAGACCTAAGATCAAAGGTCAAATGAGTGTTTGGAGTTCCATCCTAGTTTCTCTTCTAGGTATTTATCTATTCTGCTACTGTTGTGCTTAACATTGTTCTACTCATGACTTGCATTAAATTTGTATAGCTTTTCTGTTTCTGACTGATTACTATGGAAGATGTCATTCTTGTTAAGCATATTTTGAATCTTAAAAATATCTTGACTGGCATAATTTACAAATATTTAAAATCTTTGTTCTTTGATCTTTTGTGTTTAAGCAGTGAGATGTTTACTTTCAAGGAAGGAGTAGACAGTGTTGTTTCTTATGATTATGGATCACTTACTGCCTTGTCATAGTAGATGTTCAGTATTATTAAATGAAAAAATCATTTTAATCATTCCATAGAAGATCAAAAGGTAAAGCATGTTCACTGCACTTTGTCGTTCTGTTGGTTAAGGCTGAAGCCAGTGGTTAGTGCACCTTGAGGCTAATCTTCCATGTTTTTATGTCCTTTTAGCGGTTAAGATCCGAAAGGGATTCTCTGAAGGAAACCATTGAAGAGCTTCGTTGTGTGCAGGCTCAGGAAGGGCAGCTCACAACTCAAGGTAAAAACATCCCAGTAATCCAAAAAGTAGAATTTAGTTCTAATTATATCAGTTAAAAAAAAAAAAAAAAAGATTTACTTTCAGATAATTAACCTTGAGGACATTATGCTGAGTGAAATTAGTTACAAAAGGCCAAATACTGCATAAGACCATTATTGTAAAATATACCCATACTAATTGGGCGGTATTTCGTTCTGCTGTGCATAAGGTCGCTATGCGTTGGTACTGACTCGATGGCATCTAACAACAACAACAAGAGGGAAAAGATCTTTATTGGCTATCAGAAGGGGGAGGCAGGACACAATAAGTAGTACATTCAAAACAAAACAGGGTAGGTGATAGACACATCATAGTTCAGGTATTGCGGCTGGGCAATACACAAGAAGTGGGAGGGGGACAGAAGAACAAAGTAGGTAGGGGAACACTGAGGCAGGTTTGCATGGGCTAAATGGGATAGAGGTAAATAGTGATGTATGCTCAACCTTGGAACAACAGGGCTCTGTGATACAGGAATTGAGAAGGCATAGTCTGAATGGTTAAAAGAGGAGAAATAATGTTAAGATGCTTGACTGTTTTATAAACATTGGTTTCCCTTGCCTACTACTATTGTAAAATAGACACTTGAGGGGGATGGAAAGTAATATTGGAAAACATCATTATAGAAAACTTCCAAGCCTGTCCTCAACCTGTAACTAATTGGAATACATAAAAGGGGCTTTAGAACTTGCCCAGTGAAATAGACTACTTGTGAAGCCTTTATAGTGTATAGGACCCTAAGTAGAATCCTGAGACCCATCCAGAACCTTCTGAGGAGGGACATTGCAACTAGAAAGGACAAGCAGACCAGTCTGAGGCAGCTAGAGGAACAGAAGATACTTCTTGAAAGAAACACCAGCAGGAAAAATAAAAAACAAAAATGGCAATGTGATTGGCTACTACAAGAACAAGCAAGTTGTTCGCCAGAGAGCCATCACAACAAGCAATCAAGTTCCTTCAGGACAGACCCCCTTTAAGACTGAAACTCATAAAGAGAACACTTGAGTAGGCATGTCAGCTTGTTGGCAACCACACTGGTCTACTGGTGAGTGGAAGTGGGGGAAAGGTACCAATGAAGATATGGCTGAATTCAACCACATTCCATAGACTCCCGTCAACCTGGAGATGAGAGAGAAAAGAAGTGCTGGTTGGTCCCAAGTATGGTGAGACCTGGGGACTCCTGAGCCCATTAACAATTATATAGCCATGAAAGGCTAGAACTGAGAGTGAACTGTCTAGCTGATATGAAGTTAGGGGAGACACACAAGAATGCCCAACTTGCAAATAGTACCCATTTGACCTAGCTTTAATGGCTTGATGATCAGAATTAGACTAGAGGAAGATAAAAAAAAGTTTATAAAGGAAATAAGGGTAAATTGCTACACTTTGATGAACTTAACTTATAATGTAGTAGATCAAAATACCAACTTAGAGGCAAGGAATCTTCACAAAGATCAATCCTATTCCCTCTGTACACAGGGTTGATAGAGATGGGCAACTTATACATTGGCTACCTAAAATGGGGTGGAGGGGTCATAAAGGCACTAAGCAACTCGCTTACAAAAAAAAATAATAATGAACTGCTGAAGAGGCCATGAGATTTTTAACCGTTACCCAGATTCCAAGCAAATGGGCTGTCGATGTATAAGATTTATTTTTCTACTTGCTTTATAAGTTGCATTTGAACATTAGAGTTTTATTAGGTCAAAAGTATAAGCATTTGTTTAGTTCTCTATGTTAATAATAAACCTAATAATAAACCTATTCTGGAAAATGTCTCAGGGTGTCTTTATATGAAACCTTCTAAGTCAATGATTTCTTTTCCACTAAGATAAGTGGAATGGGTCTCAATCCATTAATGAACTTAGAGCCCCATGAAAACTATTCTTCCCTACTTGAAAGGAGCAGCACTTAGCTCAAACTTTACCTTCCTACCACTCTTTGCTATCCCCCAGGGAACTGTGGGAGCCTTACTTTACTGATGATGTATACAGCTTCATAGTCTGTTCACTCCCTTGTCTATGCAGTTACCCAAAACAGGAATTTTTCTTTTCATCTGACTACAGCCTCCTTTTCCCCCTACCCAAAATCCCCAATTCTTTCTATCCAGCCTGCTCATCTATTATATTTTACCTGCTAACCCCATATTCTGTCAATCAACCTTTCTAGCCTAATTTTCCACTTTACTCAGCATGTCAACCATTGTTACTCTCTTTTCCTCATTCACTTAACTCTTTCTAGACCAAACTTATCAGGTAACCTCAATTTTTTTCTCTATTCTAAGTTACCAAGGCAAACTTAAAAAAAAAAAAGAAGAAGAAGAAATTATGTGTCTTGATTATCTTTCCCAAAAATGTATTATTTATTACATTTGGATCCTCATTGCTGCTTCACAGCCCGCCCTTATATCATCAATTGTATGTGAGTTTTTCCGAAATGTTAAGAATCTAGCCTGAACCTTAGCCCTTTTACTCTCAGCTCCTATAACATCAAAAAAAGAGAAAGATCTTTTTATATAAGGCTTCATGTTTGTTCCTTTGCTACTTATAAACCTATATATTTTAGCCATTATTATATTGATGTTCTTTGACCTAGCAGTTTTCTCTCTAGGAGTTTACCCAGTATGTTTATTGGGCTATGATTTAAAGTAGAAATGTAGACACAAACTCAATGTTTAGCAGTATTAGAATGTTGTGCTCATTCAATAGGCAGGAAAAAGAAATATGGGCATCCAGATTAAAATGTTGTTGTTATTATGTGCCGTGGAGTTGGTTCTGACTCATAACGACCCTGTACAGGGTTTCCGAGGCTGTAATTCTTTACGGGAGCAGAAAGCCTCATCTTTCTCCCATGGAGCAGTTGGTAGTTTCGAACTGCTGACTTTGCAGATCGCAGCCCAATTCGTAACCACTATGCTACCAGAGCTCCTTCCAGATTAAAATAGAGGAAGTAAAATGGTCCTTATTCACAGATGACTTGATCCTGTATTTTTAAAATCCTTCAGAATTCACAAAAAAATGATGGAACTAATAAATGAGTTCAGCAAGGTCTCAGAACATATGGTCAATCACTTATATCTATCTGTGTGTTAGCAGTGAACAATCTGAAAATGAAATTAAGAAAAACTTTTGATATTATTATCAAAAACAATACATACATAGGGGTAAGTTTTACAAAATAAGTGCAAGTGTACACTGAAAACTATAAAACATTGCTACAGAAATTTTTTTTTTAATGGAAATAAATGGAAAGACAATCTTGTTCTTGTCTTAGAAGAGTCAGTATAATAAAGATGATAATTCTTACCAAATTACTTTAAAGTCAGTGTATTCACAATCAAAATCTCAGCAAATTTTTTTTGTAGAAATTGACAAGGTGGATTGCTGTTATTACATGCCTTTGAGCTGGTTCAACTCATAGCGACCCTGTATAGGGTTTCCAAGGAGGAGAGCTTCCAGGTCTTAATTTCAGAACTTAGTCTAAAGCTACAACTAAGAGCACATGGGACTGCCATAAGGATAGACATACAGAGATCATGGAACAGAATTGAGACTTCAAATATAAACCCATACATTTATAGCCAGTTGATTTTCGGCAATGGTGCCAAGGCAGTTTCTAGAGAAAAGGGCAGTTTCTTGACAAAATGGCGCTGAGACTGGGATATCTGCGTGCAAACCAAAAGATTGATTTACCATATTGTAGACATAAACAACTAAAAATTGATTATAGGTGAAATTTAAGTGCTAAAACTATTAGAATAAATTGCAGGAGAAAATCTTTGTGACCTTGAATTGGACAAAGAGTTCTTAGACACAGCATCAAAACCACTGTCCATAAAAGAAAAAATGATAAATAAGACTTTACTAAAATTTAAAATTTCTCTGCTTTAAAAGATACCTTTAAGAAAATGAAAAGGAGAATATATTTGCATATTACATTTCTGATAAAGGACTTGTGTTCTGATTATATAAAGAATTATTCCAACTTATTATTCAAAACAACCCAATTAAGGCATGGGTAAAAGACTAGACTAGAGTCCTGGTATGGTTCTGTAGGATAACCTCAGGGTTGGTGGTTTAAACTCACCACATGCTCCTTGGGAACCCTGTTACAGGGTCACTATGAGTCGGAATTGACTCAACGGCACTTAACAAAAAAGACTAGAATAGATATTTCTGTAAGAAGACATACAACTGGTCAATATCACATGAAAAGACTCCGTGTCATTCATCATTGTTGTTAAGTACAATGGAGTTGATTACAACTCACAGTGACCTTATATATGGTTTCCTAGGAGTGGCTGATGGGTTTGAACAACTGACCATGTGTTTACTAGCCCAGTGCTTATTCAGCAATAAAAATATTCAAACTACTGGTTCAGCTATAAAGAAAAATCAAGTACTTGCAAAGTCTAAAGTATTTGCTATTTGACCCTTTCTCATTTGCCAAACTTTGGTTCAGAGATTCTTAGAATGATGGTTCATCACTGTTCCACATGGTCTTACCTTCTAGTATGCTTGTTGTTTTTGTTAAGTGCTGTCCAGTCGGTTCCAACCTAGAGTGACCGGTATAGGGTTTCTGTGGAGCGGCTGGTGAACTTGAACCACCGTCTTTGCGATTCAAACGACTTTGCAGTCCAGCACATTAACCCACAGTGCCACATCAGGCTAACCCTGGTTTATTCACAGAGTAATTTCAGGGCAGCAAGGAACAGTAAACCCCAGTAAGCAAGCTCTTTTCAAGCCTATTCTCGGATCACGTTTGTTAATGTCCTGTTGTCTAAGGCGAATCACAACCCAGAATTATTTCAGGAAGGAATATATACAACGGTGTGAAAATAAGAAGGTATGATGCATTGGCAGTCATTACAGTGTGCCAAACTTTTAATATACTTTTTCAGACTTTTTTAATGTGAAAGGAAACTGACATACAATTGAATTGAGAAAAGCAAAACAAGGATTTTAGCTGTTAAAATTGACATTCAAAGTAGGATTTCATATAGAAATTATATAACCAAACTAAAGGCGACATATCTGCCTTCTCTTAACCTAGTATTTCTGTGTGTACATTTACAGGGTTAATGCCTCTGGGAAGTCAAGAGTCTTCAGATAGTCTGGCAGCAGAAATTGTTACGCCTGAAATCAGGTAAGTATATCGTGATGCTTGTAGTCATATAGTGCACAGGGTTCTTCAGCAATTACATCCTCATACGAATTAATCTTCAATTATGTCATCAATACTGTAAATATGTGGAAAATTTTATGTGGCTATTGCTTTTAACTCCCCCTGTGGAGGGCCTGGTATGGCGCTGTGGGTTGATGCGCCAGACTGCAAAGCCGTTTGAACTGCAAGGTCGGCGGTTCAAGCTCACCAGCTGCTCCTTGGAAACCCTATACAGGGTCGCTATGGGTTGGAACTGACTCAATGGCACTTCACAACAACAACATGTAAGCTTTAGGCACAAAACAGAACTCAAAACAATGCAGTCCAGTAATCCTGCTCTGTTATCTGTTTGTTTGAAGGATACAGTTTTACATATTGTGAGGCTGGCACAGAACCCGGCAATGTTTAATTCTGTTATGCTAGGGTCACTATGGGTCGGTACCGACTCAGTGGCACCTAACAATTACATAAATGGGTGGCCTATATATATCTTGAAGGCAATCCCTACTGTATATTACATCTTGCCACCAAATAATTGGTAGTTTCAGAGCATATCATTAGAGATCACATTTTCTGGTGAGAACCTGAAGGACAAATAAATGACTGTATTCATAGCTTAAATGTTTAAATCAGAAAGGAATTTTGAAGTTTCATTCTTTATAAATTAGGGTATTTATAGAGTCTCACAGTCTTCAGATTATCTGTTTTAATAAGAAATTAATTACCATGTACTTAAAACCTGTAATCAGGGTTTTATGCCAGTAACAATAGGATCTGAATTCTTTTTAGGTATTTTTTCACTTCTACTCTAAGTATTAAAGTTTTAACTGTGGATAGCTGGATTTTGATAACTGTACTGTATTCATGTACTGGATAATCATACTTTTTTTTTTCTTTCTGATCTTTCAGGGAGAAACTTATTCGTCTTCAGCATGAGAATAGGATGTTAAAACTTAACCAAGAAGGTTCAGACAATGAAAAAATTGCCTTATTGCAGAGCCTTCTAGATGATGCAAATCTACGTAAGAATGAACTGGAGACAGAGAATAGGTAGGAGTAGATACAAGGTAGCAACACTTACTGCCTGTTTTCTCTGTTTGCCTTGGTTTCGATTCCTTAAACAAAGATGTGGATTATACTTTGAAAAGTGACAATGTGCTATTACATTTCCCTTTAAAAGTTCTTTAATCCATAACAGAAAAAAAAAGAGTAGCTTCTCATGGGATTTGGTTCCTTGGTTTGGAGGTATAAGGTCATGGTTTCATGGGACATCCAATTAATTGGCCTAATATTTTATTTAGTGTTTCTGTTCTATCTCCTAATTCATGGTGCCTGGGATTTTAGAATATTCTGGGCCACCGTCCACAAATGAAAATTGGTCTCTATTTGCCTGGAACAACAGAGTAAGTAGAGTCAGGAATAGGAGGAGTCAATGGAATTTGTGGCTAATTGTTTCCATGAATAATTGCCCTATTTGCCATTGGAACCAGGAGAACTGGATGGTGCCCAGCTACCACTACTGAACATTTTGATCTAAATTCTATAGAAGAATCCTGATCAAAGGCGAGGAAATGCAAAACAGAATTCTAAATTTTTATAGACTCTACATCCTGGTGTGGCATTGCAGCATAAGCACTAGAATGGTAACTGCAAGGTTGGTGGCTCAAATCCACCAGCTGTTCCTTGGAAACCTTTTACAAAGTCGCTATGAGTCAGAACTGACTCCATAGCACTTAACAACAACCATAACAGCCAGCCTTTCTGGATCCCTGAAAGCCGGATGAACTCTTGAAACTTTCGCTGGAGATAAGCTTAAAAACCTTAAACTAGATCTTCTAAAACCAAACAATAGTTTAACTGCTCTGGTTAAAAATGTCTGCCTGGAGCAGTTTGCTCTTTTAAGAACTCTTTGTGGATTCCCATTGAAAACAGCAACTGAAAGATTAGATAGGAAACTTAAGGAGTTGGAGTTTGTTACTGGAGGCACAACACAGAAAGATGAAAACGGTTGTACAACTCAGAGAATGTAATCAATGTCACTGAATTGTGCATGTACTTATAGAAATTGTTGAAATAATTGTATTTTGTTATTTATATGCTCAATATGTAAATAAAAACAAAAGTAAATTATTTTAGAAAATGCAAAATGAAAGGGTACTTGAATCCATTCTCCACTTTTGGACAGACTTGCTAAAAAATACTATGCCTTTTTATAATGTTGTTGTTGTTAACTTGGTTCTGACTCATAATGATCCCGTACAGGGTTTCTGAAGAGCGACTGGTGGGTTTGAGCCACCAACTTTTCAGGTAGCAGCTCAGGGCTTATCCTAGAGCACCACACTCATTGGTCCTCAGAAACCCTACACAGGGTTGCTGAGTTGGAAATGACTTGGTAGCATTGAACAACAAGAAGCAAAGGTTTCTCTCCTCTTAGAAGAGGTTGGAGGAAACTATAAGCTCTTTATAATAGGATCTCTCTTTTAATTTGTTCACACAAAATAATACTAAAGCCGTACCGTTTTCCTTTTTAATCACTAATTAAAATTAAAGAATTATTTTTCTATCTGACCATTCATTCACAGAATCATTGTCAGGTTAATATAGTGTACACCATTTTATAGACTAATGTTTCAAATGGCCCATTAGTGTGGGGAAGCAATATAATCCATCAGAATTGAATAGACAGGGTATTTTTTTTCTAATCTACTATTTCTTGTCACTCCAAAAGCAAGTCTTATTTTTAGGATTTAGAATCTGAAATCTCTAAAAATCACCTTTCTGTTTGTAAGTTTTCAGTATATTTTGGAGTCATTCATAGTTAGTTCCTTCAAAAGCATGGTTTTTTACTCTAACAAGGCTTAGTTTATATTTTGTTGTGATTCTGTCTTGTGGGTCTTTTCTTTTGTTGAGGAATTTCTTATGATACCCAACATAGGATATCTCTTCCTTAGTACTATAATACTTTGTCATCTTTAAAGGAGCGCGACAGTTTTATTAATAGTTTCACAGTTTACCTGATATCACAGCTTCTTGGTTTATGGTGCCTGATGGATTTGGCATTTCCTGGGTGTGAATCAATCTTATTATGACAGCTTTATACGTCTTACTTGTTCCTTCAGCTTTAGTTTTTAAAAAGCTGCTGAAGTAGGATCCGCGGACCCTATGGTGGTGGTGGTGGCGGTGGTGGTAGTTGTGTGCCACCAAGTCGGTTCCGACTCACAGCAACCTTGTATAGGTTTTCGAGGCTTGAAATCTTTATGGGAGCAGAAGCCTCATCTTTCTCCTACAGACGCAAACTCCTGACCTCTTGGTAAGCAGTCCAATTCGTAATCCATTATGCCACCAGGGCTCCTTACTAGATAATATAGTTCTTGTTGTTAAGTGCTGTCTGTCACTGTAAATACTAAGGTGATTCTAAAAGTTTACTTAAGGATAAACAGGAGGAGAAAATAAGAGCGTAAATATTTAAGACTTTTTAAAAATGCATAAGAAACTGGAAAATGAGAAGGTGGAAGAAGGGTAATTGTAGAACACAGCCAGCCACTACAAAATCACAATGGTGAAAACAATCATTAATCTTTTGCCTCTTGCCTATATTTAACCCTCATAGTCAGGGAAGCCTTCTCCATACCCTAATTTTTTTTTTTTTTTCCCCTAATGAAAAGAAATCCACAACTTCTTTTGTTTTCCATTATTTTTCACAGTCTTTACAATTGTTAAAAAAAATTGCTCTTATCAGAAACAGAGCAATTAATGGTCATTTGGAGTCCTGGTGTGGTGCTGAAGGTTAATGCTCTAGACTCCAAGGTCAATTTAAACCACAAGGTCAGCAGTTCAAGCTCACCAGCTGCTCCTTGGAAACCCTGTACAGGGTTGCTATGGGTGGGACCAACTCAATGGCACTTAATTACAACAATAGTCGTTTGTACAGTACCTCTGTATGGAATCGTGGTGTGGCACTATAGGATGAGCACAGGACTGCTAACCACAAGGTTGGCACTTCAAACCTACCAACTGCTCTTTGGAAACCCTATACAAGGTTGCTGTAAATTGGAACCAACACTTCATAACAAAACCAACATGTATGTAGGTGGCTAATGCCTGCGAAGTTCTAATATTATATGCCATCTATGAGAGGGCTTCAAAAAATTCATGTAAAAATGAGATTAAAAAGTTATGGGTTTTTTGTTGTTGTTTGTTTTTAAACCCTCTCATATTTACAATTGAGTGTTGTGTTTGTTTTTAAAATTACAGGCACTAACAATAATGTACCTTTAACTTACGACCATCTCAAATAATAATCAAAGTTGATAATTATGATGCAGTTGTTTGTGCCAGACATTGTGTTGATTTTTCTTTTGAGAACGTTTTACAGATGAGGGAGCAAGGGTTCAGACACAGGCTGTCTGACTCCAGACTCTCTATATCTAACTCCGTCTCTTTCTTGTCAGTTTATCTTTGGCCACATTTTTAGAACATTGGGATATGTGTGTTGTTTTGGGGTTTTTTTCCCTGTCTTCCTCTTACGGTATATACTTCTTCTAAGTGACTTACACTAATTTTTGTCTGAGCGAGTTTTATAAGTATTTACATTACCTTGTCCCTAACTTAATCTCTTACTTCACTGGAAACATAGTTTTTAGATCCACTGAGTCTTCTCACTGTATGATGTTAAATACAATTTACAAATTACCTAGGTATCATCTGTTAGAAGAAAAGGTTTGTAAGTGAGCTCCAAAGTCCTTTCTGATTATTTTTCCCAATGATCCTCACTTGTACATGAATTTTTTCATATATATTTACATATATTTGTGAAGTTTACATATGTAATATATATTTTCGTGTAGTTTCCTGTTGATATATTGCTGCAGTCTTCTTAAAATTATCTTCAGCAAAACTTTACCTATGTAATATATATTTTTTTAATGTTATATTGTGAATTATATGATAGTTTACATTAGCTTTATATTCATCCTATCATATATCATTTCATTGCCATGAATCCCCTCCATACATTATCAGTCAACCAAAGGGTATACCCTGTAAGCCTGCCCCCTGGTCATCAGCACCCAGCCCCTTTCCCTTTCTGGGTCTAGAGTCCCTAGCCACTCCATCTTTCCACGTCATCATCTCTGCCTCCATCTCTGGCATCATTGCTTCTCTGGGTAGGGTCCCGTACTCTGTTCTTCTCCCTCCCAGGGACCTCCATTACTGGGTTGCAAAGTCAATCACTCTCCTCCTTTTGCTATAAAACGTCCACCTTTACATTTCCAACCCTCACAGTCAGTCCTGATAGCAATTATTCACTATTGTCGCACATGAGTGCTATCCCCATCTCCTTTCATCAGCCCCACCCAGACAGATTGGATACTACTCAGTGGAGATTCTACCTTCCTCTGCACCCTCTGGATCTAGG